CCCCATGGTTTTGCCATCTTGCTTGTCGTATTTTCCAAAATTCCGTCTTATTGCTTACTTTCGACCCAAAAGGGAGTATTTACTAAAAATTTCAACTTCAAACCAATGACCAGTTTTAATGACCTAAAAATTAAAAATAGTTATTTTTGTGTCTAAAGTTTTTTTTTCAAATAATCGCATTTGTTTGCCCGCCAAACAGTACATACCCTGTTTACCCTCAATATTAGAAAATCGTACATTATAAGAAATAAACTACATATGTCGTAGACTTAGTACCCTTCTTGTAGACATTTGGCTTACGGCCTTGCATGTATTTGAGGATAGGGAAGTAAATGTTCAGATTTGTGAAAATATCTTGGAAAAAGGAATATTAATCCATACAAAACTCATTTTCGACTGATTCTTTCTAAGTATAAAGCAATATATTATAGTAATCCAAATTTAAAAAAAGATAGTGAAACTAATATATGTCGAGCTATGGATATCCTAAATATCATGATCATGAAATATATGTATGTATATATATATGTAGGTATGAAATATATATGTATATGATAATGAATATATACATTTTTTATCGGATAAGTCTCCTTGAATGCTTTACACAGTTAAGGGACCAACGTATAATACCATGTACAAGGGAAAAAACTTTTCTAAGTGAGACAATTTTCCTTTATATTTAGAGTTTCTCCTATTTTCAACAATGTCATATTTTCATTTAATGCCGATTTTTCCAACGTTTTTTTAAAGTGTATGAACATAGTAATGCTTGAATCATTGCAAACTTTTATTGTCAGTTAATTACAAGCAATAAATAAACTCTGATGAACTGCGTCAATAAATACCAGAAAAGCAGAAAATCCCTAAGCGAAGACAACAAAGCGCATAAAAAATGCATGCGAGGCAAATCCGAAATTTGTCATAAAATAACATAAATATATTTGTATATAACACAAATGAGTATGTTTAATGAATGGTGGAATTGAATTATTGAACCCAAAGCCGATAGACAACATATGACAGCTGCCTTTTCTGCCGAAGCATAAAAAAGAACTGTGCGTGGGCAAGCAACGGAAATGGGCTGGCAAATTTTTAACATAAGCACATCCAACTTTTTACTAATAGCCATAAAATGATACAACTAATTTTTAACGCGATGCAGTTGCATGGAATGGGAAATGAAGAGTGCGGCCCATATTAACAATGCAAATGGTGCGGCTTATTAGTAAACAGACTGGGCTAAAAAATAATATAAATGGCTTGGCAGCAGAAACGGCAGATACAGATACGAATACAAACACTCGTTCCAAGAATATAGCCTCAAGCAGCATGTATGTACGTATGTGTCATATATTTATGTTTTTATAGGATTTTTATCGTAAATTTTTCGCGTGTTGTCCGCAGCTTGCATATTTTGCAGTTATCTTTTGTTGGAAAATATATATTCAACTGCTACTAGACTTGCAGTTAAAAGAAAGCTAAAGCGCTAACGGGTACCAATACACTGCTAAGATATACCCTGTAAAAAGCGTGCAGCTGTTATAAATATATTATAATCTTTATCTCTAAGTGTGTGCGGTATTTTAATTTGTAAGGGATTAAAAATCGTTGATACTATTTAATAATTATTAATTATAGCTATAATATTTAATAATAAAAAACTCAACTTAAGCGAGAGCTTAAATTTAACTCTTAAAGAATTTACGAATTGCTTATACTGATCAAGAATATATATATGCGAAACGCAGCGTTTGTTCTGCTAAATTGCAATATGCCTTTTCTTACTCATTTTTAATGGGCGTAGAATATAAACGGAGAGGTAAAGCTATGCCCGCGAAATAACATAAATTGAAAATTGTTTGCTTTGTAGTTGTTGGCACCAACCAGAGATAAACATTTTGAGCAAAGCAGCCAAGGGGCTTATTTGGGAGCAACACACAGCAATGGACCACACTGCATAAATCAGCAGATAGAACCAGCACCAAATGCTTTGGGTCTTATTTGCATTGCAATGCGCATCTGATGCTAAATATTGGACAGGCCACAGTCTTGTTATTTGTTTTTTCTCTTATGTATGTATAAGTATATTTATATGAGAAATTCGCGCAAATTTCTTCAGCATCAGTTCCAATATTTTTCTTTAAATACGAAACCTTTTTAGTTGCTCATTTAAAAATGATTATTTTTTTGGATTAAATTCATTATTTGTGCTTGAAGTATTATTAAAATAAATATCATAGTTTAGATTATAATAAAGTTTTGATTTCTTCGAAAAGTAAACTAAGATTTTTAAAATAAATCGGTGTAGAGAAATATTTCACATAATTAAAAAATTTTCCCATGTGTTGGCCTATATGCATTTGACCTCGATTCAAGTGCGGGTCTCATTGAAATTGTGTGGATTGGAGAGAATAAGCAGCTTAGTTCTCTCCTTCAATAGTTGTTTTATTAAAGTTTTCATTAAAAAATTTTTAATATTTATGAGCAACAGTTGTTTGTGTTTATCAAAGATAAAAACAGCTGTACACTGATTTGAATACTCTACGGGGAAGAAGCAAGATGCATTTTGAAAACATCTAAAGTATTGTTTGAATATAAAATTTCATGAAATATATAGAATAAATAATAAAGTTGATGCATCAATTATTTTATTTGGAGGTTTTTTTTTGTTTACGAATACTAATAAATTTTTAAGAAGTTTTAATAAATATTAAATAAAGAGGAAATTATCATATACCAAATAAATGACGATAATTTGTTAATTCAACGTTCTGTATTTTAGTGTAATTTCAATATTCTATAATCATTTAAAAGTCTTTATCAATCATTAATGTATTTTAAAATGCATTAAAATAAAGAGTATTTAAGTTTCGTTGTGATGAGATAATACATATACTTTGCATATATATTTTTATGCTTTAAAAAATCTGATGCTTAATACACAAATGTTTTCGCTGGCGTTTACAAAACAAATATATACATCGAACACCACTTGTCAGAGCAGCATATACATATATGTATATATGTAGGTCGATATGTGTACGCCCACGCGAACGCCTTCACTTTGGCTCACAAACACGCACAGGCGTTTTATATATTTACACACATATGATTTGGCACTGAGCGCTGAGTCGCACAATTAGTTTTGATTGCAGCCTTGGCAGATGTTTGCTTCAGAAGTTCTATAAAAATGTTTTTGCGTAGGTGTTGCTCTGTTTTTCCCCAACAAGTTTGTATTTACAAATAATATTTCTGAATCAAGTTATTCCTAGTTTTTTACAGTTCAGTGTAAACTTAGTTTTTCTTTATATTTTTTCCATATTTGATTGAAAAAATAAAATTTAGAGTATGATAGTTAAAAGTTCCTTACCTGAAGATACCCTAAGCCCAGCCCGTACAAACAACCGAACCTTCTTTTATCCCAAAACGCGGTGAAAAGTACTTCTCAAATTCTATTGATACTATTAATACTATTGATACTATTGATACTATTGATACTCACTATTAATATACATACTCAAGGAGTAACCATAACAGATTCAGATACTATAATCAATATTGTAGCAGCCAACAACGTACCGGCCCAGCGCCTGATCTAGTCGTGAGTACCCGACTAGAAAATATATTTTACACAGCTACCTAGTGGAGATCAATTCGGTACTAGTTGCTCAGCAAGAATATATTTATTACGGGGTTGGAGAAACTGACTACGTCCTGTCATATACATTAAGTATACCCTCTGACCCATTTTCAATGGATACGGGGTATACAAATATAAAAAAAATATTATTATTCTTGAATCAAAGGTGATTTAATTTTTTTTTCTACATAATTTTACTAATCTCTTTGATTTTTCATTAAATGCCACCACACAACCGGCCCCCAAATATATCAGCAAAGCAAATATAATAGATACAGAAACATCAGAGGTGTGAAAATTTATGAGACACAGGTGTGAAAATAAGCGAATGTGCCTCCAGATGCCTTGTTTATATTTATTTGTGGTAGTGTATCAAAATTATTTCAATGGCAGCGCACTTCAACTTGAACTTGATCAAAATATTTTGCTAGATAATAAATAAAACAAATGAACGAATGGAATGACAAACTTACCAGCAACATATGCCTTCTGCCCGCACCAGCACCATACCCACCTGGGTCGCTCTGAGATATTTTAGCTTTTAGCAAAATTGATTGCAGCAGACTCGACGTTTTTGAATTTCAAGAAAACTTTTAATTGAAATTACAATTTAATTTTGTGTTACCTTCGTGAGGCCCGTCAATTGGCTGAAATGAACCGCGAACAAAAAACTTTGCAATAATCCAAAAGCTAATTAGCGCATTTTATTTTTGGGCAAGTGACATCGAAAATATATACAAATATGAAAAATGCAAGAAAATTCAAAGTCAACGTCATTTTTGAAATTACCTGCAAGTGTATGAGATTTGCGCAAATTCATCAAAAATATAATGAAATATAATACAGCTGAACTTGACATCTGAAAGCGCCCACGCCAAAAATGAATTTATAAATATATATATATATAATGGTATCCAACGGATACAAATGAGCACTCAGCACCCAAAATTATTGCTGGCAAATTGCGTTCAATGTATTCGCCTGAAAAGCGAAAGGGAAATAGTTTTAGTTTTCTGGCACTATAACTTGGCCACACTTCTGCTTAAGATTCAATTTGATTTCATATTTTTGTAGTATTTTGAAAATTTTTAATTGTTGTTGTGTTGTCATCGTGACGTCATTAAGAGTTTCCGCTGCTCATATCTAAATTTGTTAGTCTGTTGCCTCCTACATTGGCTTTATTTCTGGCGATTTTGGCATTCGAAAAACAAAAAAATAAAAACCTTCCGTCTAATGCCGAACGCGGCGTCGGCGTCGCTGTCGCTGTGGACGCTGCTACTGGCAGTGGCATTAGGCTAACCCAAAAACATTTTCAGCATTTTCGTAAATTATCTCTGGCCTCTTAGGATAAATGGAAAACTGTTTCAGCAACTTGCGTCAGTCGAAAATTATATTTTGCTCGCCATAGTCGCGCATAGCTCAGCAGTTTCGTTTACATTTCTTATTCTAAACATAAAATGGCTGTAAGTGTTAAGAAAATAATTATCTTCAATGGACAAAAATGGAAAATTAAATTATAACAAAATTGAAAATTAAAATAAAATTTGTGTTGTTAGATTATGTGAAATTTAGTTTTTGGTGTAAAATTCAATTAATTTTAAGCTTAATCAATATCATGTTATCAACAATGTTATTGATTAGCCCAAAAAGGATTTACAATAATATGCCAATCGTATGTGTGAATATGTATTTATATTTATATTTGGTTTATACTTTTTAATTGGCAAAAATGTTTCCAGTTTTCGTTTCCAAAAATTAAATGAATAGAATAATGCATCATTATCTTAAATTATTTAGTATACTAAAAGAGTATCATAAAACAGGCATGGATATCAAGCGTATAGCTGCTTATATATAATAGACTTTAAATGTCTTTTTGAAAAAATGCACAAAAAATTTAATTATTTGAGCATATTTCGAATATTAATTGTTTAAATTTCGTTAAAGTCACGTACAGACGAAAATATATGAACAATTGTTAAAGCGTTATGTCCATGCAATTTGGACAGAGAGATATCCTGTAAACAGATCTCAATTGCCAGAAATTAATATATAATTTTAAAAGATTGAATTATTTATGTGTAAGTTCACAGTAGCAACATTGTAGTTTTACAATCTGGTACATATAAAAATATAATGCAAATTGTCCGGCCCTTCTCTCTATTTTAATTAATTTTAAAGATGCCCTCCTCGGATTCATCCATGTATTGTATGTAGATGTATATATATTTATAAATATATACCCCTTTGAAATGATTATTGAATTTCGAGATGGTGGGAATTATGTAGAGTTTTAATTTAATGTACAATCACATATTGTTATAATAATGAATATATTAAAAGCCTTTTTGCTATTTTAATCGAATAAACAATTAAGGAACAAAATATTATAACGCATAGCACGCCATGTTTGGCGACTTAATTAAAAATTCTTCATTGATTAATTATTTTAATTGTCAACTAACAAAAAACACAGAGGCGACATTCCATAGTTATTTATACATATAATTATTTGTTCAGAAACATATTCACAATCCGCTGAGCTCACAATTCTGGCATATTTCGGACACTTTCCACACCCACACGCGACAGCTGGTCTGTCCATAATTCATTCTCGTATATCATTTTTACGTCTCTTCACTTCTTTGTTTTTGTAAATTAAAATAAAAAATCACTTTGTTGACATTTTGGCCCTGGACTGGTCCCCAAAGCCCTCATCCAAGGCCTCTTGCTGTAACAGTCGCATGCCATTAATTATGTGCTGTCAGTCGCTGGATCGAGATTGTTTTCAAGGTCCGGTATATCTCTCGGCACAGTTAAGAATATTATATAATATTGTATAAATTAGTTCTGTTGCCCTTTTCTCTTTGTATATAAACACATTTAAAGTGTATTATTGCAAAGTTTTCTATATATATTCAAAAATCTGTTTAAATTCTGCAGTTCGACTGAACCTTTAAATTAGTTAACCTGTCGGTTTTTACTGAACTTTATGTATCTTAGTGATGACATCATTTTATATACTGTACATTTCAAAGTTTTTGTTTATAGTTTACAAACAAACTGTTGCACTGCGAATTTGAGTCTGGGAAATGATTGACCGGCGTCTGCCGTTTTATTGGCAACAATCCAAAAAAATTACTGTCAAGCGCAAAGTCTATAAAACAAACTTTTAACGCAATTTAGCCTCAAAATTTAAGAGCAACCGAATAAAAGATCAAGAAAGTAAAGCCCTTCTCGAACTTTCGGTTAAACTTTTAAACTTATCAAAATTTTGACTGAGATAGAATTCAAAAATCTTGCATTTCTGAAACCGGGAGACATGCACTTGAGGTATATTTGGGATTGCAAGATATTGTGTTTATTAGTCAATAAATTTTGTTAATAGTATATGTTAACCGGCCACATAGACACGTTCTATTTGCGCAAGCCGCCGATACAACATTGCAAAAAAACGTTTGCCCGGGCCACCCCCTCTGAACGGTCTGCTTAGTCGTGTGGGCGCCAAATGCACATTTTAATTCAATTTGTTGGTTAATGTTGGGCGGCGGCCAGCAATTGGCAGTGTTCCAAATGACAAATTAAAATAATAACAACAACAACAACAAAGTCAGCAACAACAAAATAGCAGCAATTTTTTTGGTGATCAACAAAAATAAGCGTCGAAATAAACGTTTATCTTTATGTTCAAATGAAAATTTTTATTTATGCCCGCGGCAGAAAAAAGGCAAACAGCTGAAAAAAACTAAAAAGTCGCCTGCCAGCACAAATTGAGGGTTATTTAAAGGTCACGGTTGTCCGGGTCGCCAACATTAAGACCATGCCAGGAAGGCCGAAGCACAGGGTGTGTCAAGTGTATAAAAAATTGTAACATTTATTTTTTCATACAAGTGCAAGTGAATATGATCAGGTGGAATATGGCAAAATAAAGGTATATTTTAAATTGTAACAGTAATCAAAAATTAAAGGAGCCTATTGCTAATTGTTTGTGATAGATATTTAATTGTAGACATTATATAAATAATTATTGAGAACGGAATTTAGAAAGACAAATAATTCTAATAAGTACAAACGCATTCAAACTTCTATCCATAATATTCTTAAAATAATCAAATATTATTGAATCATTTAAGACACTTTGAAGAAAGCAATCAATTATTCTCTTAACTAGACAATAGCTTCTTTTTTTTTATTCTTTTATAGAAAACTTTAATTTAATAGTTCTTAACTGAAACACCTAAATAGCGGTAATATAAATAAGTCCTCAATTCTCAGCATATTAGCTCAGATTATTGCCATCATTTGCATCATCTTTGGGATTGTCACCCATGCAAAAATATGTCTCTGGACAATTTTTAATAGCAATAAAAATGAACATAAGCTGGGCATCCAAATGAACCAATTGAGAATTTCAGATACCAGAACGACCACAGTTGCATCAACATTACGGACAATAAGTGCTGTTTGTTTAATTTTTGTTTTTGTTTTTATGTATTTATTCAATTAAAAATTAAAAGCAAAAGGGCAAGCTACACCCCCCAGTGGGGGCATTCCATCCGTGAAATTAAAATCGAAGCCATTGCGAATGCAAATTGATGTGCAATTCATTAAAGTGCCTTCGCTTCATTGCCAGCCATTCAGGCGTGCCTCTGTTCGAGTTGAAATATCGACAAAAAAACTTCAAATAAGGAAAAAATATGTATGTATGAAATAATAATAATTAATTGGCATATAATCGTTGAAATATTAAGTGCAGCTAATACATAACACAAAAAAGCTATAAAATTACACAATAAATATTATTTAGGCTAAAAACATATATATATATTAAATAAATGAATTATTATTTCATACACACACACACATATATATCGTTCATAAGCTCCCAGCACGATCCATTGTGACATTTTGCGGAAAATTTGGTTTTTGGCAGAGGGGCTCCCCGAAAATTATTCAATTTGCACATATTGCCGCAAATCAAATGATAGCTTTTATTATATGTGTAAACAAGGGCTATAATTCAAAATACGAAGCAATATAAATAAACAAAAATATGCAAGATATTTATGAACCCGGCTCGCATGGGATTTAAATAAAATGTATGTATATAGTGCAATAATTCAATTGTGGCATATACGACACTCTATTCTTAAAGCTAAATAGAATAATTGCAAAAGCCGCAATGATTTTATTTTCAATTCAAGTTGGATAAATTAGATTTCCTTTTGACTATAAGTCGAAAGAGAATTAATTTAAGTTTTCTTTATATATTTCATATGACATACTTTAATATGACATGGTCGAATAATAAATTAATTTAAAAATAAATTCTATAGAAATTTGAATATTAATTCCGATTTTGTAGGAAATCTAATGAGTTTCACCAAAACCAAAACTAAACCAAATTAACCCAAAATAGGAAGAAGCACAGTCTGACAGTCGCTTAATTAAATTTCAATTAAACAGTTAGTGGCTTTCACTGTCAGCCTAAACTGTCACATAAAGTGCGGCGGCTGTCGGCTCCAGTGACCGCGGCTTTATTTAAGCCTTTCACATGCCACGCCTTTTAAATTGAAATTAATGAATTGAAAAATGAATGAACCTTTATTCGTTTTCATTTTGTTTTTGCTTCTTTGTTGTGGGCACTTACCCACTTGTGTGTATTTGAAATTGGGTGCAGGGCTTAAAAGCAATTCACCGGGGGTTATTGTTCAGCTCGCAGCCTGAGGTCCACCAGTTAGTCGGAAGCTAGTCATATTTGCGTTTACCTATAGTAAAAAAAATATACCAACGTAAGCCTCCATTTTGTGGCTGAATGCGCGCAGTCTATAATATACGCTTATTTATTTTTAGAGCAGGGAACGCGCAACCCTATATATTTAGCAAATTGCGTACAATTACAGCAAATTTTTTTGTTTAGCACTCGGCTTATGATATCGTCTTACTCTGTTACAGCCACGCAATAAGGAACAGGAACAGGAGGTGCTCAATTGGATCTTTGCAGTGCTCGGCGAAAAGGTGCCCAGCGGCCAGTATGAGGATATCCTTAAGGATGGTATCTGGCTGTGCAAGTTGGCCAATAAACTGGCCCCTGGATCCGTAAAAAAGATTCAGGAGCGTGGTACCAACTTCCAGCTGATGGAGAACATTCAGCGTTTCCAGGCAGCTGTCAAGAAGTACGGTGTGCCCGAGGAAGAGATATTCCAAACTGCGGATCTTTTCGAACGTCGCAATATTCCACAAGTTACCCTTTCGCTGTATGCCCTTGGTCGCATTGTAAGTGCCTGACTTTGGATGTAAAGATTATCAATTTGATATTTACATTTATTGATAGACACAAAAGCATCCCGAATTCACTGGCCCCACCCTGGGCCCCAAAATGGCCGACAAGAACGAGCGCACCTTCACCGAGGAACAACTGCGTGCACATGAGGGTGAGCTAAACCTGCAGATGGGCTTCAACAAGGGCGCCTCCCAGGCCGGCCATGGTGGTTTCAGCAACACGCGCCACATGTAAGACGGCAAAACCCTCAGGTATACATGCAAGCACACACACACACCTCTCACAGCTACACCAAAAATAATTTAGTTCAAACAATGTTCATTTGTATATCTATAATTTCTTGCGGTTTTTATAATTAAAGCCCTGCAATTAGCAGCGCGGGCCCCTCTTAAAGTAATTTATATATTATGAAATAAATAAATAAATTAATTTTAATATAATCATCATGTTGTTATTTTCACTAAAAGTGCTTTCCTGCATTTCAAATAAGATTAGCATTGTTTTTGCTGTTAATTAGGAAAAACACGCAGCTGCCGCAAGAATTAAGTGGTTTTTATGCCCCATCAGACCTTTAGCACCTCAGCCAAATAAAGTCATATCCCGACACACGCACACACATCCCACACAGACACACACATATCGCGTAGTACACCCTTATTTAATTGTTTACGCTTTGCCCGCTCGTTGCCCACCTGAGATTAAACAAATTACTGCGATAAGCATGAGAAATATCAAATGCCAAGCTTGCATACATTGCGCGAAACTTGAGAAAGTGTGCCAGTTACTCAAAATCAGCAAAACTAAAAAATACGATAGAAAATTAAAATCAATTACAAAATAGATTAACGTTTTTATGAGCTGAGCTTCCGCTTTATATAATAGCCAGAGTGTATACCCCGGCCTTGCCCGTGGCACGTATTTGTGAATTTTAGTTTGAAACCGACCAGACGGTAAACAAAAAACTTCCATACAGCCGTTTTTCGTTAATTACCCAATAGCGCTTTAAAAACAACTCTGCGCCCAATCGGACAAATTTTAAAAATGAATAAAAAGTTTGATCACGAAACTTCACCCTAGAAAGCATTGAGCCCTATTTCCACCCGCAGGAATGGGTTTTTCAATCATATATAATTTCATATCCCTCTAAAAGATCATGAACAAGTGAATAAGAGCCGAATGGAGGGTTAAAAAATAAACTTCATACAACCGTGTTTCGCGATTTTCCCATACTTGAGTGTGGAATTTCCCAATTGAGGCAAAGTCGCGAATGACTAGTTAACTTTAGGTGATAAACCAAATATTCTAAGTTAAGAAATAGGAATTTATCCAAACCGAAAAACGAAATGCCGCCTACTGGCGAGTTGGCTCTACGAAAGACGCAATGCGTGTGGGTCAATTCCAATGGTCCATCAAATCGGTGTAAGGGTAATAGGCCGACTTTGTAACAAGGGGTTGATATACCCAAACAATGAAGCAGTGTGTGTGCGTGTGAAGCTTGTGTTTAATTTCCACTTATCGAGCACAAAAACAAGCAATAAATGCGCTTATTTTGTGAATTGGTCACCTTGACAGGCACTGACAGGTGCTTTGTGTGTGTGTGCTGAGAGCCTGTGGTAAATGTAAGTTAGTTCCCTTCTTCGACTGCCATGCCAGGAACGTACACTTAATTTTATTTATGTTGACAATTGTTGTAACAAATAAGCACGTAATAAATACAACATACATTCCGTATGTGTGGTATGCGAAGACACACATGGAGCTACAGATACGACGATTCCATTGCAAATAGTTTCATGTCACTGCTCCCCAAAAGTATGCTATAATAATGTAATTTATTGACAACAAAAGTTGACAATGATATTGGTGGACTCTCTGTCCTTTTGTAGGTGGTTCGCCTTCACCCTGCTCTCTGTGTCTGTCCGGGAATAGTATACAGCAAGGGCAAGCGGCTCATGTAGCTGTTGTTCCAATGCATTTATTTCATTTGCATACACAAATAAATATTTTCTGAACACAATGATTATTTATGGTTATTTATATTAAAAACAATCGTATTGCATTCAAGCTCTTTGTTTTACCCTGTACCCATTGAATATTTTTGTTTCTTGATCAGGAGGATGAGCTGAGTCGATCTAGCCATGTTACATCTGTGGAACCGCGTCGATCTTCGTAACCTTAAGGAAACTAAACGAAATTTTGAATATATATATATAATATAAGTCCTCTCAATTGGTACCCTTAGACCGTCATTAAGTTCTTCAAGGCTTAATACTTTAGCACTAAGTTCATCAATTTTCATGTAAGAATTATTTGACATGACTTAATAGACACACTGCCATAGTATATTTGATAGGTTTGTTGAAAGCTTTAACAGCATGATTTGATGTTCTTTACTGAGTTTCCCTGCATATGACGTGCAGGATTAGGATTATCTCTGTCGTTTGGCTAATGTTTGTTGGTTTCATAAAGTTTTTAGTTTATTGCGTGTCTACCTCGTCGCTTCTAGCAAAATGTTTGGACTCTATTTGTTAGCCATAATTTCTAACACTAATTGGCCGCGGGTTGGCGGAAAGCGATGTGCGGGAATCAGGCCAAAGTTAATGACAGTCTGTAGTATGATTTGGCTTAAGCATGCAAGCGCATTTATTTTGTTGCCGACCACATTGTTGTTGTTTTCGAGCAGCAGAGCTTGCACAAAATATTTTGGGCTAATTGCTAAAACTTTGTAACAAATTATAGCTGCAATGTGGTTGGAACCAAACTCGATTTCAATGCACGTTCTCCACCGAATATCATGCCAAAACTTGACTTTAAAGTAAATGAAACGGTTCGTAACTTACAGTAAGTTTGCAGCCGACTTTTTTGGGCTTAAGCAGCCAAGGTGTTCATAGTTCTTAAGCGGATTGTGCGTTGCTGTCGCTTGTAATTTTTGATTTGCACAAAACCGAATTTTGGGCAAGTCCTGGAAACGAACTCAGGCACTTCAAGCATATTTCATGCTTGACTGTGCATTGTAAACAAAGCAATGTGGCAAATGGTACTAAAGCAGGCGCATTAAACAGTAGTTGTATACTTTACCCATTCTCTCTCTCTCTCTCTCTCTCTCTCGTCCCTTGTATACATTTCTCTGTTAGCCCACAAGCGAGAGAAGCCTTAATTGCCAGCCAACTGCTTGCTGTAATCATAAACTAAGCTAAAGCCCAGTGGCATTGCTACAACCACAACCAAAACCAAATTCCATTGTCCTCGTCGTACTTGGTGATGTGTTCGTTGTTGTTGTTATTGCTTTTTGTCCTGAAACCAAGTACGCAAAATGTTAGAGGAGGGCCCAACAACTAAAGCAAAACCCGCGTAACAAGTGAATAAGCTACACTTGCTCGATTATGAGATGCCCTTCAAAAAACATCTCCGATCCCATAAAGTATATATATTCTTGATCAGTATTGACAGCCGAGTCGATATAGCCATGTCCGTCTGTCTGTTTCTATGCGGACTAGTGGCTCAGAATTAAAGCTATCGTCATGAAACTTATCATACGTCTCTCACTTAGTTGCACGCCGTACATATGACAGAACACTACATAATATACGTGCCATGGGAACGATCAGTCGAAGAGTAGGTTCTTTTCTAACACCAAACTCAGCATTTATTATTTTTACTTTGTTCTTTATATATAGCAAAGCTTTAAGAGCATCGGACTATATCATATAGCTGCCATAGAGAGGATCGGTCAAAAATTAAGTAGTATGGAAAAATTTTTGTTTTGCAAGATATCTTGACCAAAATCAGCATTTATAAGTTTCAATATGGTCCCTACATTTATTCAAAATTTGATTTTCCCTGTGCTTCTTAGATACGGGAAAAACACTATGAGCATAATGATCAGCAAGAGTATTTAATCTTCGGCGTGCTGAAGATAGCCCTTCCTTCTCGTTTTTTTCTAAATGAGATTTATGAAAGTTTGAAGTGCTAATTAAGGAAGTGGTTAGCTGGGCAGGCAATGTGTGCGCTTTGGATATTTAAAAATAAAACAGCAAAAACCTTTTTATGCCTTAAACCTCTGCAGAATTCAGTTCGCAACACAATTTTACCAAAATAGCCAATTAATATTTTGTCGTTCTATTCAAACTTTGTTTGTCTTGAGGTTTGGATTGTTTTAAAATAGATCGATTGAAAATTTGATTCAAAATAACATTTCACTTATTTATGTATTAATTGGCTCATTTATGATTGTATTTATTTATTTCCCTATGTATTCATGTGTTCATATACTTATTTATTTATGTATTTATCGGCCTGTGGTCATAGACTTCTAGGTAACTTAAAATGTGAATGTCTTATTTTTATATGTTAATAAGCCCTGTGGATTGTATATGCATATCGTGTATTTGGTTTTGGTTTGGCAACTAAATACAGCTGTTCAATAACATTGTTGGAAAAATGTACACACTTACGAAATATAGTCTCTATACACACATGTGCATGTAGTTACTTTGGCCAGGACATTCATAAAAATTCGCGCAATTCATCCCAGACTTGCGTGCAGGAAACCAAAAATTATTTGTGCTTCCACAAACCGTATAAATTTGCACTGCGAATTCACTTGTTACACACACACACACACTTGCCCATGTACATGCTTGTTATCCCTTGTGGCATTTGCTCGGAATAAGCGCTGCTATGCTTATCCTCTTCGTTAGCATTCGAGGTTTCCAGAGTTTGGGCTTGCACATTTGTCGTTTTTGTAATGCTAATAAATCATAAAATACTTTTTGCTGAGCATATTAATAATAAAACGACAGCTTATAGCTTGATTTATAGGTTGGAGTTTTTTCAATAATCCAAATCTCAGCATTTTGGTTGAGGTAGGACTTATGTGTTTTTGCCTCTGCTCATTACGACATTTTTTGCTTAGAAATATTTGTAAGCACTTCGATGGATCAATTTGGATTTGCAAAATAATTATAGCAGTCGCACATTTAATTTGTTAACCAGTATACTTTATAGAAAGATAGCAAATCCGATTGAAAAAGAGATTGTCTCAGAAGGAAAGAAAAAGAGAGAGGAAAGCGAAAAGTGGAATGGTGCAAAAGTGCTGTTGAGTTGAGCTCCTACCCACAAAACTTTCACCCAGAGTGGCACTCCTTTTCCCAATCTAAAAACTTAAATGAAAACCATAAATTAATAAAATAATATAATACAATATATAATAATATAATAGAATATTATAAAATATAATACCTCTATACATAAAATTATATATATATATATATATAGATATATATTTGGTTTTCACTGTAGCTACCTTCAAATGGGAAATTCCACCCATATGTGTGGAAAAATATGGAAAAATGTTTGTATGACTTTTTTGTTTACCATCCAATCTCAACTCA